GCTGGTAGACATTGCAGTTGGAATTATCAAAGGTTTTTGACACCTGAGAGACACCAACTCCTTTGTGTTTGGAAGCGGGGGGGTGGGGGTGGGGTGAGGACCAGGGAGGATGATTCAACCACTCAACCACTAGATGTCACTGAAAACAACAAATCCTACACACTGTGCCTTTAAAAATCATTACATTTGATTGTTGTACAATGAATCAGCAAAACGCCCATGTTAATCTGATGATCAGCGTATTTAAATTTCTGACTACAACCGCCAGAAGTTTACATCTTAATATGTGTAAAATATCAACTTTTTTTAATAAAGTACATGAATAAAGCTTATTTTGATCATCACATGTGATTTTAGTGCAGATATTAAACTGAAGTTCTGAAACCTGAGCTGATTGGTTTGTTTTGATCAAAGACTCGTTGAACAGTAGCTGATCAGATGGTTCCGTTCTGACGCTTCCAGTGTTTTACATTCGTCCCTGAACTCCATGGAGACACAAGACAGTGGAGGTAATGCCAAAATAAAATCGCCCAAATCTCTGATAAATCCTCGTGGTGTCCCCTCTGGTGGGACATCCCCTTTAAAAACAGTCAAACCTGCAGTCAGTTGATGAGGTAAAGTCTGTAGGTTCACATGTTCTCTGTTCCATCTGGGGTTAAATGTCCGTCGGGTGCAAAAGTCGCAGACAAAAGTGCATTTATTGCTGATACTCCTTCAGTATCTGGCCGGCGATCACCAGCCTCTGGATCTCGCTTGTTCCCTCGTAGATCTCCGTGATGCGGGCGTCGCGGTAGTGCCTCTCAGCCGGCATGTCCGTCACATATCCCATCCCACCCAGAATCTGGATGGCCTGGTTGGAAGTGCAAACAGGAGAGAGATTTTAAACCACAATCATTGCATTTCCTGTGAGAATGCAGTGAAAGCTGAAGAAGCTTAACATGTGTGTAAATGTTAGGGTTGTGCAATATTGGCAAAAAAAATAATCTCGATTAATTGAGGTATTTAGCCGATAACGATTTATTTGACGATTAATCCCCTGGAGTCCCTGGACACCCTTATGTCATAGTCACATGACCAATTTAGTGGGAAAGATTTGCTCTTCATAAAAATCTGTTCCAAATTGTGTCAAAATTACAGACTTCAGGCTATACATAAATTTTTAAACTGTGTTGATAAACACAGTTTAAAAATTTAAAAAAAAAAAAAAAACAGAAACTTTTTTTAATGTTCGTCATATTTGAAGCTGAGAGGAGCACCGAGCGGATTGACTGGAGAAATCTCCCCTGGTGGCATTAATCCCATTAATCGTCAAGTACCAAAAATTAATCGATTAATGTTCTTCTGACGATTAATTGCACACGATACGATTATGCCAAACCCTAGTAAATGTATGTGTGAATGACTAAGTGTAAAGCACTTCGGGGTCTGACGGGGCTTGATAAAGCGCTGTATATTCAAGCTGAAATATATTAAATGTTGAACTGTAATGCAGGTTGAATTTAAAGACCTACAATTTACTTAGAATGACGTCGATGATGTTGAGATCTATAATGTCAGTGAAGTGAAGTTTCTAGGTGTCATCATTGATGAAAAACTGACATGGAAAAATCCTATAAATAATTTAAGAACAAAAATAGCCAAATCTATTGGAGTCCTCTACAAAGTAAGAGAACTGTTCAATGATAAAACACTATTTATGTTGTATAACACTATAATTGTTCCACATTTAATTTACTGTATTGAAGTCTGGAGTAAAGCTTGTAAAACTATCCCAAATCCTATTTTTATTTTACAGAAGAGAGCTCTAAGAATTATTACTTGAAAAAATTACAGCCATCCATCGAATATATTGTTTTCTGATTTGAAATTATTAACCTTCTATGATTTGGTCGATTATAATATTTTTCTGTTAATGTACAGAGCTTATAAAAGTGTGTTACCTTCCAACATTCAAGTAAATTTTGTTTAAAGAGAGAGCTGTTATTATCTTAAGGGAATTGAAATGTTTGAGAAACCCTGGTTTCGTACGAGCCTGAAGGAGCGATCCACTGTAATCCAGGGAATAAGTTTGTGGAACAGCCTGGAAGATGAGGTTAAAAATGCCAGATCCTTATATATATATATTGAAGAGAAAGATAAATTCTAGTATTCTGAAGAAATATGGAGAATTATAAGAGAATTAATGCTAATTGTTGTTTGAGTTGGTGTTTTAAAATTAGCTTTGTTTTTAGTTTTTTGTGTGTTTTCAGTTGTTTTGATTTTTGTTGTAATTTACTTTTATTTTGAACATATTTTGGGTATAAAAAAAGGGGCAGATATAAGATTTATTCTTCTGCTGCCTTTCATTTTATTTGATTTCATTTTGATTGCATGTTTTTTTTTGTTCTTTGTTGTGTATATAATTGTTTCAAACAAAATGAATGGATTTCGAAAAAAAAATGAGTGGGAAGCAGCAAAACCAAAACATGCGTATAATAAAAACAATGCTGGATGTAGGAGGATTATAGCTAAAATGATGAGACACAGTTTACATTAGCAAAAAGAGGATGAACAGAGCACAAAAACATGCTGAAATGACATGAAAGTAGCAAAGAAAAGCTGGAATTACTGAAAAAGTGAGAAAAGAAAAAAAAGTTCAACAAATGCTGAGAAATGCTGACAGATCAGAAACTCAGAACAAAAGTAGAAAATAAAACATACTTGGAAATATGGAAATCACACCTAATATTCTAAAGCTTTCATTTAAAAGAGCTGTTTAACAAATGTTAAATTTACAAAAATGGTAAGAAATGTAAGAAAACCAAACCTAAAAATACGTCAAACTAAAATATGTAACAGCTGTACAAATGTTAAAGTTTTCTAAGTATTTCAACGAGGGAAAAAAAAGTTAAGTGGAATATTTCAAAGACTTTCAAAGATAAATACCAAATGTCATTCCTGTAATGTCCTGAACGAACTGAACATTTTGATGCCTAAATTTCTGAAATTATTTAAAAATTGCGGAAGGATATACATGCCAAAAAAACGTACAGAAAACACTTGAAATAAATAAATCAAAGAAACGTAAAAACAATAGTGTGAATGTTTAACGGCATTCACACCAACTGTTCTGCTCGTCTTTTCTCCTGTTCATGGTTTCCTACCTGATGTGCGCAGAAAGTGGCGGCTTCAGACGCCGCCAGTTTGGCCATGGCTGCTTCCTGCGGACACAAAAGCAACAGATTTGTCGTTCGGCTCACAGCGGGAAACCTCAGTCTGACCAGACCGGTTACCTTAGTGAAGGGCTTCTGTGAATCTCGAAGAAAAGCGGCCTTCCAGGTGAGCAGGCGAGCACTCTCTACTGCAACCGCCATGTCTGCCAGCTTAAACTGCATGATGGGAAAAAAAACATATCATGAGAAGTGAGAGAGCTGGTTTGGTTTAACCTTGATGGGAACATTACCTTCAATCTTGGGCAATGTTATGAGATGCAATGTTCAGAGGAATATCAGCTACTACTAGGGGTGTAAGAAAATATCGATACACTGAAATATCGTGAAATTTCATTTCCCAATACTGTATCGATATCCTAAAGCCCTGTATCGATTTTTTTAAGGTTTAAAATGTCAACTTTCCTGCCAGCCGTTCATTTTTAGGCTGTAGTTCAGCCTCTGACCACTAGTTGGCAGCAGTGAGCCAGHCATTTGGCTCCTCTACCTCTATAGCACCAGAGAGTAAGAGAGCATTAGCATTGTGAGTAAACATTAGCTTCATGCTCCGATAGCTGAATCTGAGCGGAAAAGCCCGACACCCTCTGCCTTCTGCTGAGGTAAGGTTACGAACAGTTACTTATTTGTCAGAATGTCTGTATTTTAAGCCAAATTAAGTGTCTCTTGCACTCTTTTTTTCCCAACTGTAGTCAGCCTTCATGTTACAGAAGGCTAGCGCATCTCTATAAAATAGAATTTTCTGAGACAATGAATTTTGGTTTTTCTTTTCTTTTTTCCAGTAAGAGATTTTTATTTAATAGAATTTTTGGACCAAATAAAAAAAAAATCGCAATATATCACCTTGCTTTCAGTATTGCAATATATCGGGATATATCGTATCGTGACCCCTCTGTCGTATCGTATCGCCAAATTCTTGCCAATACACAGCCCTAGCTGCTACTACAGCTTAATATCAGTAAAACTGGCTAAATTTTAGCCTTTATTGTATTTTCTAAATTCAGATGGCTGGAAATTTTTAATTGAGTTGGCTCGAAAAGCAAAAAGCAAAAAAGTACATTTAAAATAAAGCTTTGTGAAGCAAAACTGGCATTAAAACAAGAAACAGAAATCCTGACCTTTCCTGAAATGAAACAGTGATTACAAACAACAATACTGCAGGGAACTTTGAAAGCCAACCAGATGTGCAGGGGAAAGTTACCTGTATGGCCTGCAGCTTGCCAATGGGCACTCCAAACGCTGTCCTTTTGAGGGCGTAGTCGCCGGCACAGTCTAGAGAGGCCTGAGCGATGCCGAGAGCCTGCGACGCAATGCCGATCCGTCCGCTGTCCAGGGTTTGCTGAGCAAAACATTGATAACAAAAGATGTTTTTAAAACCCTTTGGTGAGATGTTTGTGTTTGAGCAGGTCTTTTCCCAGGTTGGAACGATTGATTCAATGATACAACACACAACCTCAAGTTTGACTTTACTGTGACTTCTCTCTAAACCTCACGGGGTTACAGATAAACATCCAGGCTCAGACAAAGTCTGTGTGGGCAGCTGCAGGTTTCACTGAGCGTGAAGGTGTCAGAGCTCCTGGTCAGCGCACTCTCTGTCTGTGGAGAGGTAAAACTGGTTTTCATGTGGACAGAGAGGATGCAAAAATCCGGCCTACCCAGTCTAGGTAGGTTGGGTCCTTGGTTGACCGCAAAGACCGGAAACAAATACATGTGAATTTGGACAGTCTGGTCTTCAGCTTTTTCCTGCTTCTACCCCAGGGTAAGTCCTGTTGTCTATCAGCAGTGATGACGCTAAACAAGAGAAGGATGTACCGGACCTGTCCCTCAAATCGCATTTGTGGGCCACAGTCAGGAGTCTAGGAATCTGGACAGCCCCCAGCACTGCACAGTGACAAAAGCGGCCGACAAATTCTACTTTCGAAGCATAAAGGACACAACCAGGAGACTGTGGTACGAGGACTTTCCAATTAATGGCAGTTTAGTGGCTTCTTGGTAGTTCCTGCACAACTTAACTCCTTTTTGGATCTCCACTGAGCTCAAGTTCCTGGTTCTTTTGTCACCAAGTGCTGGTGAGAGTGAGAAGGGGGTCTCTGCAGTCACTAAATCGGAGTTTCATGAGTGTGGGCGTAGTTTGGGTAAGCTATTGGTCGGAATGACTTGTGGGGGAAGTTAAAATATGTGATGTATGACTAGTTATTAAAATTTTATGAGTTGGTTGATTATAAGATTTTGTTGATTACCGGTATATATAGGGCTCATAAAAATGTATTGCCTTTGAATATTCAATCTAGTTTTGTTAAGAGGGAAAGTTGTTATAATTTGAAAGGATTTGAAATGTTTATAAAACCTAAAATTTGAATAAACTTGAAGGATAGATGTACACGGAAAAAGATTGTGGAATAACTTGGACAGCGATTATAAAAATGCTGATTCAGTTAATTTATTTGATAAAATGATAAAAATTAAATTGCTGAAAAGATATAAAGCTGATGTTTAAGAGGTTAATTTATTTTTTGTTATGCTGAAGAGGGCATAAAAT